GTGTATGCTAGGATTGTGGGGTCTTGTCTGCTTCTCCATCCCTACTTCTGAGACAGTGGGCCATTGCCTGGGCCTCTAGCAGTCCTGCCCTGGCTGGGGTTCCACTGTCCACACCAGCCACTCTCAAAACTCCCATGGAGTTGAAGATGGGTGCAGTCTCTTTGCACTAGATGAAAACGAATTAAGGAAGTGGCTAAAACATTAATAAGTGGAGGGGAGAAATGAACATCAATTTCACTCACTTGGGCCTGATGACTTTCAGGCCAGGGATGTGAAAAGTCTGTGGAAAGACTTTCTTGTCTTTACTGCTCATTGGTATTTCATTAAGAAAAAGTGTATGTGAGGGAGCAAGACTTTAGAGTCAGACTGCCTCTGTGACTCTGGGTAAATTATGTAACCACAGGGGACTCAGTTTCCTAATGGAATTAAACACTGTTCTCTGATAGGGGTGTTGGTTGTCAGGTTGTTTTGTTTTTGAGACGAGGTCTCACTTTGTAGTCCAAGCTGGCCTTGAACTTGTGATCCTCCTCTGGTTTTGAGTGCTGGGATTACAGGCATGTGCCATGATAGCAGGCTTTGTGTTTGCTTTTATGGGTTAATATGTTGCTACAGAAAGCAGTTGTTCAGTGTTATCTGTTAAAGCACGGTAAGGAAGACTTTATTCAGCACCCGAGATAGGTATAGGGGCTGCTGCCGTGGGATTTTGCAGCGAGCAGACTGGCTTAGCTCTGAATACAGTATGGGCAAATAGAAATTTCTAGCCAGAGAGAGGTGGGGGCGGGGGCCATGTTTGTGGATGGAAAACTACTAAGAGGGACTTCAGAAGTGAGGTAGATTCTGGCCGGACTGACCTAATAGGACTCATGCTGCAGGGAGGCGGGGGTGACCAGACTTCACCTGGGGGTGGTAGAAGCATATCTAGGATGGGGAACGGGAGCCTCTGGCTAAACTGATGCAACAGGATTCTTTACTAAAACTGGATTTTACAAAGAAGGCACAGATGAGCCTAGGAAACTAGTGCACCCAGAAGCCTCACAGACATTTGGTCAACCAAAGGCTCTTTTCTTTGTCAGTGTAAATCTCCCTTCACAGTGGCTGTTGTGTTGAACTTGAATAAATATCAGTCAAAGTTCCCCTTCTTCGTTAGATAAAAATGTTGATCAGATTCTGAAAAGGAACTTTAATGAAAATTAAAGTCAGAATTTTTTGGGTTATTTGTAATTTTAATACTTTAAAATGTTTCTTTGGGGCCGGGGATTTAGCTCAGTGGTTTCGCCGCCTGCTGCGCAAGCGCAAGGACCTGAGTTCGATCCCTGGTACCAAAAAAAAAAAAAAGTTTCTTGCCTTTCATGGTTCGAATGAGAAATGAATGTTTTTCTCTCTCCCAAATCAGACTCTCCTAAAGACTGCAGTGTTACTGACCATATGGGGAACAGTGTTTAGGAAAGTACATAAAGTGAAATTTGGATTTTCAGGTCTGGGGAAACTTAAGTTGGAAGTGGTGAAGATGGTTTTGACCTAGTCTGCCAGATTCTTTCACGTTGTATAGTGTTGTAATTGCTGTTAGATACCTTCCAAGTCTGGCCCACATGCCCCCTGTTTGTCTTACTTGTTTTCAGATCGATAATTGGAAACCTCTGCTTTCAAATCAGGCTGAGTTCGAAACCTTCACCCACTACCTGTGCAGGTGTGTTACCTTGGGCAAGTTGCTTGGCCTCTGGAAGCATGTTTCCTCATCTGTAACAGAAGTGTTGCACCTAAATGACTGGATATATTTGGACCACTTAGCTCAGATTTGGATATGAATAGAGTGCTGGTGGTGGCTGCAGTTAGTAGTTTTCTTGAGACACAGGACTCCAGGGTTTTGCTGGTGATCTTATCTACCATTCTGTTTTTCCTTCTCATCTTGCCTTTTATTTTCTTTTTTTCCAGTTGGTTAATTTAAACAGCACCTTAAAAAATTCAATCTTGATGATTTGCTGCCACCTACAGGCTAAGATGGAAAAAGCAGAATATGTCATTACCATTTTAGATGCTGAATATAAAATTGGGTTATCTTGGTGGTCTTGAAGTTGGCTGTGGACAAACCCATTGTCACCCTTCCTGAGACATTTCTTTCTCTTGGTAGAGTGACAGTACTTGAATAGTACAGGTTAAGTATTCCTTATCCAAAATTCTTGGGACCAGGGCTGGAGATTTAGCTCAGTGGTTCTGGTGCCTGCCTCGCAAGCACAAGGTCCCGAGTTCAATCCCCCGTACCAGAAAAACCCCCAAAAAACCCTTAAGTGCCAGAGTTTTGTGCTCGCTTCAGCAGCACATATACAAAATTCTTGGGACCAAATATGTTAGAGATTTTGGAGTTTTTTTTTTTTTTTTAATTTGGGGATATTTGCATATAGGTTTTACTCATTGAGCATCCTTAATTTGAAAATACAAAATTCAAAATGCGCCAGAGTCTTTAATGTTTTTGAATTAGGAATGCTCAGCCTGAATTAGAATCCCTTTATATTCTTCCTAGAATTGAGCAGTATCTGTACTGCACTATTGGCAATTAGATACTGCATTTTTCCTAGTTTAAACTAGATTTGCAAAATAGTGTTTATTAAAAAGTGTGAAAAAGTCTTTGTTATTGAAAATATACGTTAGAATCTGAATGTTTTGGTCTTGTTTTTGTTTTGGGTCCTGTTGTAGTGGAGAATTGGGAGTGCTGAGCAAAACATTAAACTAGAATAATGTTTACACTTAGTACTGTTATACTTTGGGTCACGTTGCGTTACCTGATTGTTACTTGTGTGCTCCTCTCCCTTCCTCAGTCTCATCTGCCCTTCAGCACACAATGTGATGTAAGGCTGGTTTTACAGTGATCTTCACACAGTGATCTTCACACAGTGATCTTTCGAGATGGTTCTGACAGGAGCCGTTCAGGACCTTGTTCACCTTTGCTCCTGCTGGGATTGCAGTCAGAGTGGTCAGTGCCAAAGGGTCCAGTTAGGCCTGTGTGCTGAGCTAAGGGGCTGAGCTTTAAAAATGATATGGAACCACTAAAAGAATTTAAGCTGGAGAGCGATATGGCCAGATTTTTTTGTGGAAATATTACTTGGGAAGTCCATTCAAGAGATTTGAGAGACATCATATGGGAGCAGTTATTCATAGTGCTGTCTGTGCATTTGAGAAGCCAATCATACTGTCGGCCCAGTTTATTTTTTGAATTCTTTTGTTTGCATTACTTTTATGCCTTTAACAGTTCTGCAGGCAGCATCCAGGTAGGCACTGTTTCTGTACTGCTGTCATGCTGGTGATGGCTGTTACTGTTCACTGCCTTCTCACACTTACCGTCACCAGCCCCTGTGCACCTCTTGTGCCGAGGCCTTTGTAATGTGTACACAGTGCACGTACACATGATGCCCTTGGCTCCTGTCCGGATGTTTGCTGTTATGCTGGCGCTTATTCACCAGTGTGGTTCTCCTCCTTCCTCTCTGCCTGCATGTCCCTCATGTGCTGCCTGGCATTGTGGGTGGGAGTCACACTGCTGGTAGGCTGCACCAGTGCCTCCCAGCAGTGATCATGATGGTGTAGGGAAAAACTGACTGTGGAAAAAACACAACAAAACTGTTGTCAGAGGTCCAAAGGTGACAGCAAAATCCTAAATCTGTGTTGTGGGAATGGATGGGTGACCATAAGGCAGGGAGAGTAAGCACTTGCCTCAGGTATACAGTTTAAGTAATTGAATAGTGTTAACACAGTCTTTTTTTTTATTTTGGTACCGGGGATTGAACTCAGGACCTTGCACTTGCGAGTCAGGTGGCAGAACCACTGAGCTAAATCCCCAGCCCTTTTTCTTTTCTTTTTTTTTTTTTTTGTATCGGGGATTGAGCTTGGGACCTTGTGCTTTCAAGGCAGGCGGCGGAACCACTGAGCTAAATTGCCGGCAACACAGTCTTCTTTAAAAGTCTCAATACCAAAAAAAAAATTCGTGACAAAATGTCAGAAGTTTAAAGACAAGATTGATGATGAAGCTGTCCATGCAGAGCCACTTTGGAATCTGAGACAAAAGAAAAAACCAGCAATTACTAATTGTATCTATTTAAAAATTTGATATTTTGTTCATTGTGGATTCCTTGAATTTGATTTTTAAAATTGCATTAAAATATTATTGAATTTTTTGGTTCCCCCTTCTATTTTGCACCCAAGGTTTGGGGCCTCACTGGCCTCCCCATACCCTTTTGGGTGTGGGTTGGGCAGGAGTAGGAGAGAGCTGAGAGGCTGTCACCTCTGATGCTCCCGAGACAGGACCTCTTCTTGGTGGGCTGATTCAGGGAAGGGCTGTGCGGGTTTGGTCCTAAAGAATGTGGGAGGCCTCTATTGGATGTGTCTCTTATATCAACATTAGGTTCTTTAAAAAGGAATCTGGATGAGATGATAGTTTTAATAAAAGCTACCAGAAGGTGTTTCCTTCCTCTACTAACAAAAATTATGGAATACAATTTTCTTTGAGTATTTAGCTTGTTCCATGATTGTTTCTTCACTGAGGTTGTTAAATACTGAGTTGATCCTCACAGCCCCCCCCCCCCCCCCCATTTATGCTGCTCCGTTCATGCAGCCTTTTAAAGCTGGATCTTGCCAAGCTCCCATTCTTGACCTCTCTTGCTGTATTGTAACTATATCACGGCCGAGGGTGTGAGTCGAAGCTGACAAAAGACAGGGTACAGACTGCAAAAATGCAGAGTCTGAGGTGGTGACCTTAACCTCTCTTTTGGCCCTACCTAGGAGAGCCAGTCCTTCAAAGGTGCCAGATAGGTGATATGTAGATACAGTCAGCTTGGCTTTATTCTGGCTGGGACAGGGGAGCAACTAACGGAGAATTTTACTTTGCTTTCATTCTTTTATAGACTTTTTTATTGTCCCAGGCATGGAACTGAGGACCTTGCACATTTGAGGCAGGCGGCAGCACCACTGAGCTAAATCCTCGGCCCTTATAGACTTTTTTTTTAATCCCTAAGGTTTGCTGAGGACAGACCCAGTACCTGAGGAAGGAGAAGATGCTGCAGCCACGCTCAGCATCACCGAGACGCTCTCGGAAGAGGAGCAAGATGAGCTGAGAAGAGAGCTGGCAAAGGTAAAGGACCTCTCCTGTTGGAGCTTCCTGTTTCCAAATGCATGGGAACCGCTTGTGGTCAGTTCTGGGAGAGAAGGTGCCTCATGTTCACTGGTGAAGGTCTTGACTAGGGACAGGAGATAGAGCAGGGGGAAGCCAGTTTGTTTTATATGACAGAACTTAGAGTGAAGTGGCTGAGAGGCAGGGTGTGAGGTAGAGATGGAGGGAAGGAGTCCTCCAGTCTTCCAAGGGGCTCCAAGGATGTCTCAAACACTTTGTTCTTGATTCTATCCTTGCCTGGGTTGTGGATGCAGGCACTGTCCAGGCTCTGGCCTTCTGCTTCCCTCCCTCCCTCTCTTCTTTCCTTTCTTTCAACTTCTGCTTGTCTGCCTGCCTGACTTCCAGCTCCTTTCCTAACTTCCATGTGTTATATTCACATACATAAAGTCAACCACATGAAAGTGCACCATTGAGTGGCATTTAGCAGATTCTCAGTGTTGTGCCACTGTAACAGCTGTCAAGCTCCGAATACTTTCTTCACCTCTGAAGGAGTCCCTCCTACTCCTTAAGTAGTCACTCACTTCTCAGTTCCCCAGCTCAGCCCCTGGCAACAGCTAATGTGCAGGCATTGTTCTTTCATCCTTCACCCTCCCTCCCTCTCTCTTTTTTTCCTCATCCTCTTGTTCTGGGAATTGAACCCAAGGCTTTCATGGTGAGCTACAGTCCCACTCTTTTTTTTTTTTTTCCTATAGTTTTTATTTTGACACAGTCTTGCTAAATTGTTAAGTTGCCCAAACTGTTCTTGAACTGGCAATCCGCCTGCCTCAGCCTCCCAGAATGCTGGGATTGTAGGTGTGTGGCACCATAATATGATTTTCATCTCTATGAATTTAACTGTTTTCTGGATATTTCGTATTAGTAGAATTGCACAATGTGTAACCTTTTGAATCTGGCTTTTTTCACTTATGTTTTCAAGGTCTATCCATGTTGTAGCATGTATCAGGAATTCATTCCTTTTTGTGGCTAGGTAATACCCCCCCCCCCATTATTGTTTGTACATCCATCCAATGATGAACATTTGGGTGATTTCCACTTTTCGAGTGTTGTGGACAGTGAGCTTGCAACATTTATATACAAATATCTAGGGCTGGGGATTTAGCTCAGTGGTTTTGCTGCTTGCTGCACAAGTGCAGGGATCCGACTTCAATTAAAAAAACATTTATGTACAAATATTTGAACACATGACTTCAAGTAGGACTGCTTCATATGAAGCAGTTACATGTATTTAACTTTTTTGGGGAAAAAGTTCCATAGCAATGTCATCGTTTTACATTTCTGTCAGCAATATCTTCATGTCCTTGGCATCAGCCAGTAGATTGAGAAGTTGAGTCTGAAAACTTGCGTCAGAGTTCTAATTCCTACGTTATCTGCTTTGATAACTTTGGGCAAATCATTCCATTTACTCGATTCTGAAACTTACCCATTCCTCTTTGGTTGCCTTTTTCTTCTCATTTTCTACTTCATCAGTGTATGTCTTAAAATGGGACTTCTACAAATTGGGTATAATACTTGAGATCCTCTCTGACAAGCAGAAAAGCCAAGGTCTGTTTTGGACTTACTTTCCAATTGGTGTCTAGAACCTTGGTTATTGTTCTTTTTTCTTTCTTTTTGCAGTTGCATTATGTTTGATTTGCCTTCCATTGTTGAGCTCTACATTTCGTCTTCTGTGTTCTCTAAGGATTTACTTAGCAGTGAAAACAGTTGACTTAGCAATGCCTGTTTAGATTTAAAGGTCATGTCATCTTTGAGATCATAGAAATTTTGTGTAGGTCAGGGCTGAGAATATGGCTTTGCATTAAGCCAAAGGAAGCATTTCTGTAAAGGTCTTGAATATTAATGAATGTACTGTAGGGATTCAGTGTTTCAACTTCCTGGCATAAAATATCTCTTCAGCATGGAGTCTGTTTCCCTCTGTGAGCTTGCCCTTTTCTAGCTTCCTGGTTTAGCTTTTTCTTTGGCTGAGTTTTTCTCTCTTTTTCATAGCATCTGCTCACAGTTTTGGCCTCCACAGCTCACAGCTCACTGTGGCCCAGCTATACCTCAAGGCTTTGTTTTCTAAGTCCTCTCAGCTTCTCCCAGTGTTACTTCAGTTTCTCAACCTGGGCTCCTGGATGAGAGAGGTAGATTAGTGGAGCAACCTTCACACCAGGCAGTCACTGCTTCATAGCTTCAGTGGGTCAGGGCCCATCAAGACCTCTGCAGGGCTCTGTGGATGAGGCAATTTAATTTATTACCATGATGGCATTGACCGACACTGGGACTGACAACACTGAGTCTAAACTCATAAAGCACACATGAAGGTCAAATTTTGGTTTGGGATGGTTATGCATATTTTGCTGGGGGATGGAGATTATTTTGATTTAGCATGCAAATATCAGTTTAGTGAGTATTCATGTAGAGTAGAAATGTCTAGCTGGAAAGTTAGATCAGAAGTCAGGAGATAGGAATGATCAGATTTGAGAATTATTCGTGTAAAGGATTCAAGCTCCAAACTTCTGTGAGATAATTGAGTAAGGAAATACAGGGAAAGAGAGGAGAGCGAAGGCCAAGGACAACTCACAGGGTTGCAAAATGCTACCATGGGAGGGAAAAGAATAGCTCTATAGGAGGGATGAGTGTGAAACAGTTTAATGATACTACATTTGTAAAGAGACAGAGAAATTTTAAAAATATTTTAAGTGACTACAATTTTGAGTATTGCATTGCTCTAAAAACCTTACCTGAATGACTCTTGTCCATATTTCTACCACAAATCCCTTCCTCATAGGTGGAAGAAGAAATCCAAACTCTGTCTCAAGTGTTAGCAGCAAAAGAGAAGCATCTAGCAGAGATCAAGCGGAAACTTGGGATTGGTTCACTACAGGAGCTAAAGCAGAACATTGCCAAAGGGTGGCAGGATGTGACAGCCACGTCCGCGTATGTTCCCTCAATCACACGTTTTTCTAGACAATGTGAAAGACAGTTTTGCATGTTTTCTTTGGGGAGGGGGAGATAAAAGGGATGAGAATGCTTCTACAGCTTTTGTTTTAGTCATATAGGGCACTGACTTTACAGCTCTCAAGTGTAGCTGACTCTTTTTCTAACTTTGGTTTTCCAGATTGTTCTAGGAAACAAAGAAAGCCAGCCTTATATAAAAGTTGAAGAAACAAAATTCAAATTTCAGAAATGTTATAGAGCAGGCTGCTCTTACCAGTTTCTCTTTGTGAGGTGTTTTTCCTGCAATCAACCATGGGCTGAGAATATTACATGGAAAATTCTAGAAATAATTCAAAAGCTTAAAATTGCATGCCATGTTGAGTAGCACCATTAATCTTTGTGGTCCCCCTATATCCAGCTGGGGACATGAACTGCACTTTTGTCTAGTGTGTTCAGGCTGTATGTGCTACCTACCTTCAGTCACTTAATAGCTGTGTAAGAGAAAACAGGATTCTATAGGTTTTGATAAGATCTGCAGCTGTAGGCAGCCACAGTGGTCTTGGAACACATCCCCAACACATTAGGGAGGGGACTAAGGAATATTGAATTTTCAAATACATACACTGTGTCATTTAGTTCTCAGCATAACCCAGTAAAATTGAAGGCAAGAGAACCCTAAGTGAGCAAACGGGCTCAGATAAGTGAAGTGTTGAGGTCACAGCCTTTCTCAAAATGTGGAGCCAGTCTTTTTGTTTTATTGCTTGAGGCAGGATCTTGCTATGTATGACAACCTTGAATTCACTCTGTAGCCCAGGCTGGCTTCAAATTTGTGGTGCTCCTCTTGCCTCAGCCTCCTGAGTGAGTGCTGGGACTACAGGTGTGCACTACCATGCCTTGATTTTTGGGAGTGGGGGGTACGGGGGATTGAACTCAGGACCTTGCACTTGCAAGGCAGGTGTGGTGCCGCTGAGCTAAATCCCCAGCCCTCTTGATTGTTTTTTAGGCCCTGCTCAATACATATCATCTCATGTGTCCTCAAAGCAGAGGCCAGTCCCTTAACCTGTTTGTCTTTTCAATCGCACAAGTCGTGATACAGCATGAGCACAGCGCAGTTTTGAAGCTTCTGCCATCAGATGGAACTGTTCCATGTTTTGTGTAGAGCCCAGCTGCTGAGCTGAGGAGCTGAGGAATTGTTTGCATCTTAGCCATCAGCAGCAAGGCTGACTGGGTTCCACCTGGGCCTGTTTCCTGCCCATGTTAATGCCAGTTAGCACTGGGAAAACATGCAGGAAGCAGATCTTGGACTGTATTATCATAAGCTCTATTTGGTCCTGGTATTTGATGTTCGTGGGGAAAAAATGCCTGACCATCCATGTCCACAATGAGGTTTGGTGGCCTTTTCTGGTATGTTCCTCATTCTTATTGTGGTCATCATCATTTTTTCTCTATCTCCTGGGGAGAGGAGGTTGGTAATTTATCCCTTTCTGTTAGAGTGGATATTCCCCAGAGTCATTTTAAGTATTTTACCTTAAACATATTCTGTTGAGAGTCCAGTAGGCCCTTATTTGGTAGCTCTACAGACAAGAAGAACTTAATTTTTGTTTTGGTTATGTGGAAAAGGAAAGAAGAGGTATAATTTCTTTCAGACGCTGGCTCCCTCCTCTCCAGCATGGGGGATTGAATCCAGGGGCTCACATGTGCTAAGCAAGCACTTTCACGAAAAAAAAAATAGGTACAAGCAATTAGTTGTGACCAGGTCTCTCTAAGTTGCTCATGCTGGCATCAAATTTAAGATCCTCTTGCCTCGCCTTCCAAGTACCCAGAATGAAAGTTGTGCTCCGGCACGCCTGGTTCATTTTTAGTTTTTGTCCCATGACTTTTTTTTAGCTCTTACTGATTTCTTTGGCATTGCCTTTACGAGCCTCTGTCTTTCCATCTAGACTAGGGCACTGCAGATTATGTCCAGATGATGGTTCAGTCTAAGATGATGTGATTGTTGCTGCTTTGGTGGTTATGAAGGGTTTTTGACATTCATTCATTCATGTGGTACTGGGGATTGAACTCAACCGATGTAAACACTGAGCTACGTCCCCATCCCTTTTTTATTTTTCATTTTGAGGCAGGGTCTTGCCAAGTTGCTCAGGCTGGGCTTGAACTCTCAATCCTCCTGCCTCAGCCTACCCAGTGCTGGCATTATAGTCATGCGCTACTATACCTCAGCAAAATATTTTAGAGAGTTCTCAAACAGGTGGTAACCACTGCACTTAAAATAATTGGTATTAGAAAAAGTTAGCCAAAAAAAAATTAGCTGACATTTCTTTTTTCTGTTCATTTCTAATTGAATACAGATACAGGAAGACCTCTGAAACCTTATCTCAGGCCGGACAGAAGGCTTCAGCGGCCTTTTCATCTGTTGGCTCTGTTATCACCAAAAAGCTGGAAGATGTAAAGTATGTCTGCATTTTCTTTGCTTGCTAAGAGGCTGCGGCATAGTGAAGCATTGGTGTGGTTGCTTTTGCTTCCTGGTGTTGTCCGGGGACACTGGATTCCCTGTTGGATTGAAGGATATTCCTTCAATCCAGGATCTGAAATTCTTGCTCAGATCTCTCTAGGCATAGCATTCTAACATCAAAAATGGTTGTTTTCTGAATCCATAAAGGTTGTTGAAAAATTGTGGTTGCAAAACTTTTGTGTCTTTTTTTAGTACTTCTGATCGTATTCGGTAAGTATGTCCCTGGTGGTGGGAAATTTGTGATTGTGGACCTTGCTTGGTGTCTTTCTGGGGATAAGTAAAAGGGCATTGACTTGCACTCTTGGATGGAGACCTGGCTTTACTTTCTGTATGTACTTGACATCTTTATTCCATGGTGTGATTACAACATGCTTATTTGTGCACTGATTTGTACTAACCTATAAGCTGTACCGACATTCATGCTTAGGCCTAAATCTTAATTTTGAGCTATTGCTTTTTATTTTCCATTTGTATTTTAGATTAGTTTGCAGATTTTTCCTTGTCTTTTTGATAAAACCACTTCGTAGTGCTTTTGTGCCTCCCTCCACCCGTGTGGATTAGAATAGTGCTGAAAATGACGAGTGTGGTTTAAATCAGCTGTGCTTTTGTTGGCATGCAAAATTTGTGGTTAAAAAAAAAAAGCTCAGATTGCATGACTTTGTGTTTTTCGTTCATGGGGAAAGTAGATTCTACAACCAGAACTTTAGTTGGCTAGGTTTGGTCAGCATTACATACTTTGTACCACAGTAGCTAAATTCCTTGCTTATTATATTTGGAATATCATTCTAAGTGTAATGTAATAACTGCAGCTTCCTGGAACTCCTGACAGTCCATTACACATATACATCTGTTTGGTGCTTTTGCTTCTCTTTCTGCTGACTGAATCACTTTAGGGCCCAGGTAAAACATGTGACTTTTAAAAAGTAGGTTATTTAATTGTTTTTGATTTATCAGAGCTTCCTTTCTTTTTTAATGCTTACTCTGGCTTTTTACAGATTGCAGGCCTTTTCGCATTCCTTTAGGTAAGGAGAGTTCCACCCATCACTGCAGCCTAGCAGTTGTGTGAGACAAGTGTCCTAAGCTTAGATGAATATGTCATGTCAGATTGTCGTGTTTGTCCACTACATCCAGTATTCTCCTTGCATTTGGAGTATCTTTCTCTCTAGTGCTTCTTTTTTTTTTTTTGGTACCAGGGATTGAACTCAGGACCTTGCGCTTGTGAGGCAGGCACAGTGCCCCTGAGCTAAATCCCCGGCCCTCTAGTGCATTTTTAATTTCAAGGGAAGATTTCTTGTATACCATGAGTAATGGATAAATTAAAAGAAGAATTTGACACCAAGGTTCAATGGATATGGAAATGATTTTTAAGTTTAATTAATTAATTAATTGATTTTAAAAGCAGCTTTACCATGGCATGCAGAATTCCTCCCTTTTAATCTCTAACTTTGTTTTTTGATGGTTTTGTTTCTTTGGTGCTTTTGTAAGGAAGTTGAAATTCTTTCACCTGGGTCTCATTATGCCATTATAATAGGCTGCACGAGTACTGCCTCTTGGTAGTCTTCTGTGTTCAGTGGTTACTGTACTTTTTGTGTATGGTAAAATCAACATAAGATTTACTGTTACTCTGTACTGTTTAATATTTGTTTTACTCCCTCATAGTTTTTACTATTTTATTATTTCTTCCACTAATTGTAGTCTTTAACACAAGGCAATTTCATGGTTTGCAAAAGGAAAAAGTATACTAGGCCAGTACACAAAGTACATTAAAAAGATGTTAGTCTAAACCATGCCTTCTAGAAGGAGTCCTTGGGATGTTGAGTAAAACTCTACCATAGGCTCTAACATCCAGTTAGATGCTGGAGGAAAAAAATAGTGGAAGGATGTCTTTAGAGTGTAAGCAAGAGGATGATGAGTCTCCCTCTCTGTCCAGCAAATGCAGATTGTCTTCTAAAGCAGTCACTTGCTGTGATCTAGCTATGGAGGCAGATCCTTACACCTCTGGACTTGGTGACACCTAGTCCTAGAAGTTGGAGGAAATCATAAGGATGCATGAATTCTAAATGTTAACTATTTAAAGCTAAAATTATGTTTTTATAAAAAGCAAATAACCAGTGATAGGCGGTGACTGTGTATCTTAATTGCAAAGTGCTATAGGCACCTGAGTGAGCATTCATTCGGTCGCATATAGCACTCTGCTAATCTGAGAGCATGCTGTGACAGATCTCGAAGTAGTGGTCACAAAGCAGATGTGGCTTTTGTTGGGGTAGGGCTTAAAATCTTTGGAATGGATGGGGAAGGAGGAGAGGACTTGGGATGCATTAAGAATGAAAGAGCCCGTAATTGCTCAATTATAAAGCAATGTTAGGTGTGATATAAATACAAAATATAAAAATATGTTAGATGTAACGATATGGCTCAATGTGTACTGACTTGTTAACTCATCAGAAACAAGCTAAGTTTTGTTTTCTCATTCTTTTTAAGTTGCTTTTTTCATTTCACTTAAAAATATAATTGAGATCCTCAACTGTTTTCAGTCTTGTTTTTAATGACCATATGTATCAATATCAATATGCAAGGTTAAATCTTTTGATTAACATTTGAAAATGAGAGAAATAAGATTCTCTTAAACTTTGTAATTCCTACAGATCAAAAGTTGAATAAAACCTCTTAATCTGATTTAATTTGTTCAGACATATAAAGCAAAGCACATCTTTTAGACTATGTGGGTCACAGAGGCAAATGCTGGCCCCGTTCTGCCAGAAACTGTCCGAGGAAAGGGAGCTGACCTTAAGCTGAGTGCTCCATCCCAGTAGCAAGGTCCCTCTCGTGGGAGGGGATGCTGGTGTGTGTAGGAGGTCCTTTTGCCACCTGCTCTGAAACAGTTGGTGAATCCTGTTAATTGCTTTAGATCCATCTTACCTGGCAAACTTAGGCCAGTGATTTCACTGAGAGGTAATAATACAGATACAGAAGGAGAAATGTACTAGTCATTAGATTTAGCAACAGATTTTGTTTTACATAGCCAACATTATCACTTGAGATTTAGATATTTGTCGTTATTCCTTGATGGGAAGAGGCAGAGGGAGAGGAGCGAAGGAGAGGAGGAGACAGAGGAGAGGGGGAAGTAGAGAGAGATGGACAGACGGGGGTGGGGTGGGTGGATAGGAAGAATGAGAATCCGGGTATCTGTCTCCGATGCCCTGTGAATGTGGGCACAGTAGAGCTGAATGGCAGGGGCGACAAGGTCATGAGCAAGATCTGTCCCTCTGGGAACAGCAAGCCCCACTCTGAGATGTGTGCATTTTCACTCTGCTGCTTATTTACTTTTTAACATGTATGGTAAGCATTGACTCATGCGTTTACCATTTTGAGAGAAACTTTAAAAGAACCTTCCTATTTCAGTCTGTGCCACCATGAAACATAAATTTTTATTAATAGAATACTGTAATAAGGGTAGTTTCATTTCTCTGTGATAGATTTAAGAGAACGTGCTAATTCAGTTTGCCTTTATTTCTGAAAGAAATTTCTTCTTTTTAAATTACTGTTTTTTCCTGTATACCTCTAGGTATTTTTTCTTTGTTTTAGGTTTATTAAAAATATTGCAGGCAGGTCTTTGCCACCCAGAGCAGCACTGATCAGACCCAAAGCTCAGCTTCTTCTCAGTCTCATTTTTCTACCTTTCCTGTAATTCGCTGTGTACTGCCATAGCTCGCAGGAGACTAGGACTTAACTGCAGAGGTTCTAGTAATGTCCCCTTTCCCTGTTCCCTACCCTTCTCCATTGTTGGTGGGAGTGCAGACTGGTGCAACCACTGTGGAAATCAATATGGAGATACCTCAGACAACTAGGATTTGAAGTCCCATTTGACCCAGCTGTTCCTCTGCTGGGTATCTTCCCAAAAGAATTAAAAGAATCATACCACAGTGATATATGCTCACTCTCACCCAAGTTTATAGTGGCACAGTTTGTAATAGCTAAAGCTTGGAAACAGCCCAATTGCCCATCAGCTGGAGACTGGTTAAAGATGTGTTTTTTTTTATAAAATGGAATACTACTCAGTCATAAAGAACAAGTGGAGGCACACTGAGGCCATACTCTTAAGTGAAATAAATAGGACACACATGTGTAAATACTGAATAGTTTCTCTGGTGTGAAAAACTAAAAGTGTAAATAAGGATCAAAATGTATAATTGTTACTGTGTAATAGGAAGAAAAGATCTAAAGGAGCAGGGGAAGTGGGAGGGGTAGGGGAAAGGAAAGAGAGGGGAAAAGAAAAAATATGAGAAAAGGAAAAAATGGAAACAGAGTCTTTGGAAATAGGGAAGGGTGGAGGGGGTGAAGGGAGGGCAGGGGAATGGGGAAAAATAAAAACCAAGATGCATCATGTAAAGGTACAAGATCCCAATGATGAATGTAACTGTATTGTGTACCTAAAATGTACCAATAAACTTAACGGACAAAAAAAATATTCCAGGCAGTTGCTTTTTCCAGAAAATTTCTATTCCTTAATGGGAAAAGAAATGTCTTTTCTCAGAAAGAGATTATCTTTTGATTTGAATTTTAAAAATTATATTATTCTATCTTTCATATTAGTATTTTCCAATTTAGTTAGTAATTGTTTATTCATCCTTCATTCAGAAAGACTTATTGGGTGCTGGCTGTGTGTCAAGCACTGGTCTAGACTGCAGGGGCAGTGCTGACAACTGAAATAAACTGAAATTTGAAAATTTTGAGAGATAAAATCTAATATGAAGTAGATGTTTTAACTAAAGTCGTCTGTTATAATAATAATGGTTATTATGACAAATACATATAGCAGCTCTGAAGTAAGTGAAGTTACTGCTTGGATAGTACAGTTGAGGGGAATCCCTGAGGTTGCAGAGAAAGGATTAGTAGCTGATGGTTGCATTCAAACCCTGCACACCCTAGTTTCAGAGTTGGCATTCTTCTGTGTGCCTCCCAGAACAATGACAGTTTGAGACAGTGTCCCCCAGACCTTGCCCAGCAGCTACTCTTGCATTGCCTACACCAAGAGATTGTTTCCAGAACAAAATTGTGTAATTACGCATAGTCTGCTCTTACAAGTGTGCCTAGAATGCAGAAGTATTCCAACAGGTTACCCATTAACTCTTCCTCCACCTGCTACTCGCTTCTTTCTCCTTTTCCCTTACTAGGGATATAAAGATCAAATAACTGTGTGAGAAACCAGGAAAATCTTAGGGTCAATTTAGATTTTAACAAAACTTTTTTCAAAGTAAGGGTGAACATGAAATTGAGAAGCACTAGTATTAGATGGCCCTTCTATTTTTTTCTGTATGTGTCAAGGAACTCGGCTTGCTTTTCTTTTCTTTTCTCTTTTTTTTTTCCTAGTCTTTTGAGAGAGGGTCTTGCTATGTAGTTGAGGCTGACCTTAAATTCACTGTGTAGCCCAGGCTGGCTTTGAACTCACAGAAAATCTTTCTGCCTCCTCCGCCTCCCAAGTTCTAGGATTACAGGTTTGTACCACCACACCCTGCAAAAGACTCAGTTTTTAATTTCTGTTTTAATTAGGGTAATATATTTGAAGGTTACAAAGCCAAGTGAAAAATTTTGAACAAAATTTGCTTTGTAGATGCTAACTGATCCTTACAACCTATTAGAGATGATTCTGGCCCAGTAGTAAGATGCTTTTCTGCTTTTTAAGTTTTCCGTATAGTATTTAACCTTGATTGAAATTGGAGATTTGATATGAAGTTGAGGCAAGTTGAAGCTTTGTGTAACTTTCTGTAGAGCACCTGGAAATGAAACAGTGGCTACCCAAGTTAATTCCAGACTACCCTCCAATGAAATTGAATTTCATCTAAATACGGATTGTAGAGAGGATCACATAACTGGATGGAATTGAAATGGGTTTGTGTTCCTTGGCCTTCCTACTAAAATGGCTACACCAAAAAGAAGCCTTGGGTTTAAATCTCTGTTGATTTCATTCTGTTTAACAAGTGTACTTTTGTCTTTTTATTGTGAAATAGAACAGTGCTCAAACTCAAATTCAGCTCAATAATTTTCACAAAATAGATCTTACTGTAGTCACACTCCCTTGGTTTTCCTCACATATTCCTGCTGAAGCGCATTTAGTCAGCATGCAGCCCGAGTGAGGACAGAGGACCCAACTGCCAGCCATGGGAAGAAGATGGCCCTTTAAGTGGGGTGTAGGAATAGGGAGTAGCATTAATTGTGAGTTTCTGAAATTTCTACTTACTTTTAACCACTTAAGTCCTCATTTTGTTGATTCTATTGAATTTGTAGATCTCATGAACAAGCACTTTATCATATTTGGCCATTACTCAGCTCCTGTTGCCAGAATTTGGTAGTTTATAACAAAAATGAATGTACCAGTGGAGACTGCTTTGGTTATGAGCAGAAAAGTTAATGTGTGTTAGCTCAGCTTAAAAAGGAAATATGCTGTACAGATAGAAAGTTCTTTGTAATCCAAGGAGAGGAAAGGATGCCTCTCTGAAGGCAACCTGATAACTGGAAAGGTATTAGGCATTGAGATAGTAGAAACCAAGGGAAAAAAAAAAAGAAAGAAACCAAGGAAACCAGCAAACCCGTTCCTCTCTCTGCCTGCATGGTCATCTCTCTCTAAGGTCCTCTGCCTGTGCCTGCTTATATTTGATTCTTTTTGGGGGAACCAGTTTCCTCTGGATTCTTGTAGCTTTCACCTGGTTTCAAAAAAAGTTTCATGAAGAGATGCAGATGAAATAGCAGTGAGATTCCACCTTACCCCAGAAAGAATGGCGGCTATCAAGAAATCAACCAATAACAAGTGTTGACAGGGGTGTGGGGAAAGAGGAACCCTGCTCCACTGCTGGTGGGAGTGTAGACTGGTGCAACCACTGTGCAGATCAGTATGGAGATACCTCAAAGAACTAGGACTGGAAGTCCCATTTGACCCAGCTATTCCCCTGCTAGGTGCCTTCCTCAAGTAATTAAAAGAATCATACCACAGTGATATATGTGCGCCCATGTTCATAGCAGCACAGTTTGTAATAGCTAAAACTTGGAAGCAGCCCAATTGCCCATCAACTGGAGACTGGATAAAGATGTGGGGGTTTTTTTTTGTTTTTTTTTTAATAAAATCAAGTACTACTCAGCCATAAAGAACGAGAAACTAGACACATTTATAGCTAAATGGATGCACATTGAGGCGATACTTTTAAGTGAAATAAATAGGACACACATGTGCAAATACTGAATAGTTTTTCTGGTGTGAGAAACTGAAAGTGTACATAAGGATTAAAATGAATAATAGATAAGATGAAATAGGAAGAAAAGGTCCAAAGTGATAGGGAAATGGCACGGGTAGGGGAAACAAATCAAGAGCAAGGAAAAAATATGAGAAAAGGAAAAAATGGAAACAAAGTCTTTGTAAATAGGGAAGGGTGGAGGGGGTGAAGGGAGGGGAGGGGAATGGGTAAAAAATAAGAACCAAGATACATCATGTAAAGGTACAAGTTCCCAATGATAAATGTAAATGTATTGTATACCTAAAAGGTAGCAATAAAAGAATTTAAGAAAAAAAAGTCTCATGAACATTGAAGTCCATGTGACTTTCTAACCTAAGTGCCTACTGCTAGCTGAGCCAGCAAGTGTGGCATCCTGATTGTAATCTGCTGGGATAAGAATCTTTTTTTTTTTTTTTTGGTATCAGGGATTGAACTCGGGACCTGCCGCTTGCGAGGCGCCTGGCGCCGGAACCATTGAGCTAAATCCCTGGCCCTGGGATAAGAATCTTAATCGTGAACCCCCCCCCCCCGCCCCAATTCAATCCAGACATTCTGTAGATCACCCTGAGTTAGATGTGGTGGGTGGTGCTCCACAGACCTGTTATCATGGGATTTGTGGCAGGAGGTGGTTTATGGTGGTATAGCTGTTCCAGGCAGGGCTTTTCGAAGGGCTTGAGGCAGGACGGGTATTGATTGAAGCTCTAGCTTCAAATTTAGAAAGATGTTTCTTTCATCTTTGTCTTTCAAATATGGGGCCAATACACTTCATATGAAGAGAACTAGCAAATTCCTAGAATATAGTGGTTTACTCAAGATATCAATCACCATTGTAGAATAGAGGATACTGAGTTACGTGGACCTGTTCTTGTGTTACTTAAGACAACAAATCCAGAGATGTCCAAATATTTTATTGATTCCTCGAACTGCCAGAATATTTTGATGCATATCAAGACCACATTCTGTTATCACACATTAGTGGAAAACTACATTTAAGGAGCTATAGTCAAAACACATTACCATTTGTAACAACCGAATCGTTGAGAAAACTAAAATATGAACACACAAAGTATTTAAATATAATTGAGAATCTATACTTTGAGCTATCCACTTCACCCACAGGAAAGATTATTTACCAAAAAGAGCTGTGCCAGTGGTCAAAATACTACATGCATAGTAACTATCAGCAGAATGCTGTGATGTTATGTTTTAAGCTCTGAGGTGGTCTCCTCCTGTGGGAGATGGCTAAGATAGCCTCGAACTTGAACAATCAGTGAGCCGCCTTGTCCCTGAGTGGAAGAAGGATTTAGTAAGAACAATGGCCAAATGTTACTTGAGTGGCCTTTTAAGAGCATTTGGTTTAGTCAGGATGAAGTGTATAAGGAAGTACAAAATACATACTGTTATTGCTAAGGAGTAACATGTAATTTTAAAATCCCTTTTAAAGTTGTCAAATGGGTGATTTATTTTGAAGCTTATCTATTCCAGCCTGGAAACTAATACCAGAGACAAAGATGATTGCAGAGGCGTGTCACTGTGTGTGTCTGTGTGTTTGTGTGTTATGTGTGTGCTTTTGAGGGGAGGTGGTGAACACTGAGTTAGGAGTACCAAAGACCTAATTTCCATTCTTGATTCTGCATTGACCCTGGGTAAATCATTTAACTTCTGACCTCAATGTGATATATTTTACAGATCCAGGTGAACTCCTGTTTCAGTTTTCAAATGCTTTAAAAACGTAAGGTTTTAAAACTTGGTTCTAATAGGGATTAGGATTAAATTGGCTCATGAGTAAAGGTAAATTATGTTGTATTAACTGTGATCCCCTCCACTTTCAAAAGTAGATAAATTTTTTTTTTTTTTTTGATACCGGGGATCGAACTTGGGACCTTGGCAGGTGCTGTGCTGCTGAGCTAAATCCCTGACCCTAGAAGTAGATAATTCTTCATGGTGCCAAAAGATAAAGTTTGTAGAAAGCAGTTTTGTTGGCTTTTTTGTATGTTGAATTACCACTCTGTACTAACATCATTTCTATCTCTTTTTAATGCTGCCTCTTAAGTATACGCTCCATTCAACATTCAATTAGCATGCCTGCTATGAGGTAAAGTATATTTCTATAAAATGTAGTTGGTCTTAGGCTTGTGCTTTGTTGATATATTTAAATGAACTGTTTGGAAGTAGCAAACTAGCATTCCACTCTAAACAAGTGGTGTTTGACCAAATACCAAGTTTCATTTACTCTTTCAATGTTGGCCTGGGTACAAGAGATACATTAAATGTTTATAAATTTTAATACAAGAATTATTTGTTTTACTTCATAAAAACTTTCATATCTGAAGTGTTTCATTGGAAAGTGAACACTGCTCCCTAATTAAACCTTTTCTTTTGGTGTATACAGGTAGTTCACTTCTTTTGTCTGCATTACCCCTAGTTACGCTCCCCTTTTTTTTTCATCCCTCACAGTTTTGTTTCCCTCATCTTGCTGTGACATATAAAACCATCTGTGATTTAACAGGACGGTTGGCCTTCAGCAGCGAGCATTAGTGGTACATGTTGTTACCTCATCCAGTCTCCCCAGACAATTTAGAGGGTTTTAACAGTATGTGCTTGGCTTAGACTTCACCTTGCACTGGAATCATCTGGAGGGCTTGTTAAACCCTGCTTGCTGGGTCCACCCCTAGTGTTTCTGATTCTGTAGAACTGGGGTAGGACTTGAGAATTTGCATTACTAACAAATGATACAGGTGGTCTGGGAGATGCACTTTGAGAACCACTGGCTTGTGGTATTCAGCCATCCCCACTGGGGGAAGGAGGAAGCCCCATGTTGCCTTCTTTGTCTTTTTCGTCTTAGCAGTAGAAAGGATATTCAAAGCCACATGGATAGGATAAGAACATTGGGAACCCATGTGTGAGAGTCAAAAGCCCTGTGAGCATCCTTAAAGTGGATGGATTTTAAGGCAGTTGTGAAGCTTCTGTCAGCCAGGGAAGCTTGTGAAGTAGCAGAGCCAAGTCCAGGCTTCCCTGTGGACCCCACTTTCCTTGTCCATGATGCTGTCCTTTAGGAACTGGGATCCTTGTTATGGAACTGCTGATGGTCTGCTTGTCTCATCTGGGTTTGGGTTCGTGCCTGAGTTCTGCCGGGTAAGATGTGACTCTAAACAAGAGTTCTAGAGTGTAACACCTTAGCCAAAAGTAAACTGATCTAATAGTGTAATTTTCTTGTACAACAAGAAATTGTTTGGGGGAGAGACAGAATTGATGTTTTACTTGGCTTCCTTCACTCTCTTCACACAGGTACTTGAGTGTTCTGTAACTTGTATCTGAGGCTGTCTTCATGAATTCAAATGCAGTTTTATAGAAATAGTAGCTCAGAAGTGGATAGTCTTACATTATAAATATTTGTGTATGTGCAAATAAGTATAACAGTTCTTTTGCTGGTTGACAGTGATGGTGAAGAGGAATTCAGTCAACTGTTTTCACAATTGTTGGGATTTTTCAATGTTTGTAATTTTACTATTCATTTTTTTCTCTCCATAGAAATTCCCCAACTTTCAAGTCATTTGAAGAAAAGGTCGAAAACTTAAAGGCAAGTAAAGAGATGAATAGGGTCATTGCAACACATTGCTCGGTGCCTTAACTTTTCTTTGATGTGGGCAAAGCACTCACCATCGGTATTTCTTTTTTAAAAAATTTAAAGAACTTTACTCTTTATGACATTAATGGACATTTTAGGGTGTATATACAGTTTTAATATTTTTTTTGAGCATATGTTACAGCATAGTAGCATACTGAATGCTGAAAAGTACGACTTACAAAGCAGTAGTCGTTTAGAAATTTGAGCCTTTTGCTTTTATTCATTTCAAATACTGGAGGCAAAAAATATAGAAAGTACAAAAGATATGGTGCTACTGCCCAGAGATTGTGATGTATGTAGAAAGTAGTACTATGCTATTATGATTTTAAAAAGAATTGGGGGCTGGAGGTGGAGCTCAGTGGTACAGCACTTGCCTAGTGTGCACGAAGCCCTGTATTCAATTCCAGCATTGCGAAAAGAATAAAAGCCATACATCAAAACATTTTCCAGTATCATTAAATATTCTTCACTATTGTGTTTAGTGGCTGTTAATGTCTTATAATGGACAGCGTTTGTTTGATCCTCAGTGATTGGACAATCTGCTATTACTGTATTAGAATGGTGCTTGTCATTAACTATTTCAGTTGCGTTATTAAGATTACAGTATATTCAAAATTATGAAATCATTAATTCTTTGTAATTACAAAGGCTATTTGGGTTCTCATGCACTGCCTGACCCTCTCTAGTTTCTACAAAGCCCAAATAGTCATTTCTTCCTAACCTGATAATTACAGTGGATACATTTTAAGGATTTAATGTTTTATATAAAAACTAATTTTACATAAAAATTAGTGTTTTATTTAAATGAATTTAAATGCTAATCAGTTTAGACTTTTAAAACTGTAAACAATTCACTTATTTTCAAATTCATCTTTTTAACATTACAGAGGCAGATTACATTTATTGAAAGAAAATCAAATGCTGTACAGAGATCTGGAACTTTATTTGCCTATATAAACATTAGCACACTGTTTATGCACACATATGTAAATACTTTTTTGAGTCACAATGTACACACAGCCTGATAGCTTATTTATTCAGCCCCCCTCCCCTGGCACAGTGCAAGGTGAACCCATTGATTGCAGAGGCTGACTGACTTTGCTGATACCTCTCAAGGGCCGAGAGAGATCCTTGGAACATTGCTCATGTGTTTGATGATTAAAAATATATCAGTCATAGCTCAGTGGTTTCGCCGCCTGCTGCGCAAGCACAGGGACCCGAGTTCGATCCCTGGTACCAAAAAAAAATATCAGTCATTCTTTTAGATTTATATAAGACCTGTTTTATTCTTCTTAACGCCTACTCATATACTTGAAAACAAACTGTATGCTGCAGAAAGTCAAGGCTTACCATAACTCACTTCTCAGTATTGTTAGGATTCTCATGTCCTCAGCTGGACGTCTGCCCTAAGCATTAGTCTTTGAAATGGCTAGTTGGAAGCCAACGTGTGTTCCATTTTGATGGTTGACCTGCACAGGAACCTCTGTAGTCATTTGCTATATATTCTCAACATATTTAGACTCTATCACTGTGGTAAAATACACTTTTAAAATACAACTTGTAGCTGGGTGTGGTGACACATATCTGTAATCCCAGCACTCTGGAAAGCTGAGGCAGGAGTTTCAAAAAGTTTGAGCCCAGCATGGGCAACTTAGCAAGATCCTGTCTCAAGAAAGGTGTGGGAATGTAGCTTAGTGCCAAAGTCCTGGGTTTAATCTCCAGGACTGCCTGTGAGTGTGTGTGGGTGTTGGAGTCATTCAGATAAAAAGTAATTTTATAAATACAGTATTGTATATCAAACATATTCCCAAGGAAACTGCAAAATAGTTGTATGCTTGGGTTATAAATTTGGCAGTTTACATTTATATTCAATTAAGCACTGTGTTAGCATATACTTTTACATTTTGGATTGCTTTATCTGTGATTACTGATCATCTGCTATGACAGGGAAAGTTGAGGGTGCAGTGAGGATTAATGGTAGGAACCTCACCTTGCTTGTTAAGTGGGAAAGTCCAGGAAGGCCTCTCAGGGGACCCAGTGATAGAAATGGAGATCTTTAAGGGGTTGGGGATTTAGCTCAGTGGCAGTGTGCCTGCCTTGAAAGCGCAAGGTCCTAAGTTCGATCCCCGGTACGGGGGGGGGGGGGGCGGCGGGGAGCAAAAACCCAAGAAATGGAGATCTTTAAATTGAGAGGAATGTTTGATGATTGAAGACCCTGTTGAGGAATGGGGATCTCTGGAGTTAGAGCAATGGGAAACCATTGAAGGATTTTAAACAGTCCAAGGAACCCTTTCCTCTGTGTCTGGGGATCCTGTTAGGGTATAGATTTCAGTTCTTTAGTTAGGGGGAGGGCAAGTGTCTTGAGAGTCTTCATGTCTAACAATGAGTCTGCAGTCCTTGGACCCCATTTTAAGTAGTAAAGGGCTGAAAAGCTTATACTGTAACTAGGAAAAACATTTCTTTCATTTGCTCTCCTCAGCATTTCTTGAATGAGTGTAGCTGAATGAACACTTTGGTGCAATGCAAAATGTTTATCCAAGCATCAAGAGAGTTTAGCCATTTTGGAGTTTTAGGCTTTACAAAGTTCTTTAGACAAATTTTCCTATGAAGAACAAGTAGCAGACCCCAATCTGAAGATTTCAGCAAGGAAGAAAGCATTATTTTACTAACAAACCACGCTGAACATTGTAACAGTACTAACTTCCATATGTCTATAAATGATCACTGAGCTATCAGGTTCCTGATTTGTTCTTGAAAGTAAATTAGCTGAGTCAGCTAATTTTGTTTCTTGTCCTTTTTTTTTTTTTTGGAACTTTTTTTTTAAAGTCTAAAGTAGGGGGAACCAAGCCTGCTGGTGGTGATTTTGGAGAAGTCTTGAATTCAACTGCAAATGCTAGTGCCACCGCCACGGAGCCACCTCCAGAACAGACACAGGAGAGCCTGTGAGATTGCTACCTTTGTTCCACTACCCACTGCCAGATGCTGCAAGCAAGATCCAAGCACATCTTATCAACATTTGTTGCTATGGATTTCTACCAGATGTGCTTTTATTTAGCTTTACATATTTCTTTGACCAAATAGTTGTGAGTTAAACAAAATGAAAATATCTTCACTTCTACTCGCAGGAAACACGCTGAATGTGCATTCAAGGCCCTTTATTTAGGGAAATACTATTATACAGACAACAGGTAGTACCTGGAGACACTTGCTAGAATGATCTGAGAACCTGCAGGTGATCACAGTTGCTTTTCTACTTTACAAAATTGCTCTGCATCTGAGATGCTACTTGGATTTTTGTCTTCTAGATGATTTTTTTTCCTTCTTTGACTGTATATTTGATTCCTAACTCAAATTATTCTTTTAAATTTTCTTAGTCCTGGTTATTAAAAGTTTCTGTGCCATTTTATTTACATTTAAGGGAAGAACTTAACAGCTACAAAAAATTTGTCTTTGAATAAACACTGTTTTCGTATAAGGTACATATCTTGGGTGTGTGAAGATGTCAGATTAAACAGCTTTAAATCCAATTTGTTACAGTTGTGTGACAGTATATACAGTAATTCCAACTACTGGGTGACTTGGGAGTGGGATCTCCCCATATCCTTATTAACTGCTATTTGTAACTATAACCATTTCAGCATATTTGTTTTTTTGCCACTTATATCGACTTTTGATAATATTAAAATTTTAATTTCAGAGTAAATGGACAGTTGACCAAATAACAGAGTCTAGCATATCAGGTTGAAATATAAGTGTGCTCATCCATGTTCAGTTAAACACCTGAAGTTTTAACATGGTAAAATCAGTCACATTAGGGGAAGCATTGCTGTCTCCATTTAATCCATTTAGCACCTTTTAAAATAAGCACACAGTTATGACTGATATAACTTGAACATTTTTATACTAAGGTGTTGATTCTAACTCCTGAGGGTGTAATTTATTAATAAAAATGAATTCCTCATTTAGCTCAGTGGTTCTGCTGCCTGCCTCACAAGTGCAAGGTCCTGACCCCTCCCCCTCAAAAAAATCCCTCATTCTCTGCTTGTTTGCAATGTTAGAAATGATACTGTAGACATTGCTCTTACTTTGAAAACTGGGTGTCCAGGCTAATGAATCAAATCCTCTGCATAGAGGCCAAAGGTACTCTAGTAACTTAATAACTACTGACTTACACCACCATTTCCTTATGCTGTATGTTTAGGCCTACAATGTTATCTGTTATTTATCAAATTGCGATTGTTTTCTTGTTTATGCCAAATGTTAACTGCCAAGCTTGGAGTGACCTAAAGCAATTTTTAAAAGCATGACTAGATTTACTTGAAGATAAATTCTTCTGTAAACCAAATTTGAAAAGCTACAATGTTGATTGTTACAAAATGACGTGTTGCCATTCTTGATTGCTAGAGCTTTTGTTAGCACTTCGGATGCGAATGAAACTGCTCTATTACATGTGCAAAGCTTAAATAAATTCTGCATATCAGTAGTATAGGTCTCAATATTTATTATGAGGTCAGTGGTCTGAAATGGCTTGTTGTATTAAAGAGTAATTCTAGTGTCTATACTTTGAAAACTGTATTTCACTGTCAATTTTAAATCACTGCTTAATGCTATCAGACTAACATTTTAAATAATTTCCTTCTAGGGGCTTAAGGCAAAGATTGTTGAAGTTTTGTCTGAGAAGAGCAGATCTGTAGAAGTTTGTTCCTTTGTAGAAATATTGTGGTTATTTAACATAGCTGTTAAATTATTTTTTCTATCAAGGTTTTTTTTTTTTTCTGTGTTCCTATATCTTCTCTTCATCATATTGTTTGTTGGGTGTCCTGCCCTGTTCCTATTTTTCCGCCATGGCAATTTCTTTAGGTAAGAGATGTATCTTCAAATCTCTTTTCCCACCATGAGGAAAAATGAGTGTGGGAAGTGTGGATGCATCTATATAGGTGAGTATTGGGCACGGCTATAAAAGAAACGAGAAACTCCCTTTCCTAGATACCTTCCTAATTTAAAAATTATTTAATCTATTATACAGCACTCTGCTCTTAGAAGTAAAAAGATGAATTCAGAAAAATAAATATGGATTTAGAAATATTATTCACTGTGTTCTTTGTGGCAGATTTGGTATTATAAATTGATATATTTAGGAAATTTGAAACATTGATTAGTAGGACTGCCAGAAAGTGACCCTGGCTACTCTGTGTTTAGCATAACAAAACAGGAGAGAGAAATCTGTTATTTATGAAATCTCAGAGATTTAAGGACCTTACACAAAGCAGAGTCCTTAAATTATAGTTTGTGGGAAATAAGCTTAGATCAAAGTAATCAAGATGACTCTAACTGGATTAGCCTAGCAAGTCCAATTTTCGAAACATAGAAAAATACATTTAATTTGGGTCATTTGTGGATCTGTTAAGATACATGGTGTATTTTTTGTATAGTATTTTAAAGCAATAAAAATTCTCTACTTTGGGTATGGGTTCTTTCGTATGTATTATCTGTCAACGAAAGGGGCAAGTCTATTAAGCAACTTCTCTGAAGCCCTTCTAACCTGGATATGTAAAGAACCATAAGTACCTGTGTTGAATCAATGTATCAAGCAAGTGAAGAAAAAAAACATGCTGGCTATTAAAATGCATGTATTAAGTGACTATTTGCTGTATATGTTCCAAAGGAAGTGCTGCATAAGGCAGTTTGTCAAGACCACGTTTCAAAAAAAAAGGTGATTTAACTCAGTCGTTCCACCGCCCGCTTTGCAAGTGCAAGGTCACAAGTTTGATCCCCGCCCCCAATAAATATATGAGACAAAGTCTGCCCATGTAGTTTAGGCTGGCCTTGAACTATGTAGGCCAGGGTGGCCTTAAACTTGTGGCAATCCTCCTGCCTCAGCCTCCCGAGTGCTGGGATTACAGGTGTATGCCACCACATCCAGCTTCTTATAGGTTTTAAAAATCAGATGGAAAAAAATCAAGTTTTTGCCCATATTGAAGAGACATTTGGCCATTGATTAGTCATTTCTTAGAGACTGTGCCATTGTAAGCGGATTAGAGAACCAGAGTGGGTCACAGTATAAAGTACTGTTACCAGGAAACTTCACAATTCCATATTGCTCTGATGCTGATACCAAAATCAGAAGGCTTTTCACTCTTATATGTTAGGCCTCAGAGGGCAGGGCCTGCCTGTGCCTGTCACCTGCCAGCACTACATCAGTAAATGCTGTTCAGTCAACACAATTCTTGCCAACTCTCACATACTTTTGGTGTTACTGAGGTTGGTTGGTAGTGTGATTATTTTAATTTGATAATTTTCCTACCATGTAGTAAAAGCCAAACAAAATTTTGTTTGAATACATATTTGTAGGGGGATATGCTTTTTTCTTTCTTTTTTTTTTTTTGGTACCGGGGATCGAACTCAGGACCTTGCACTTGCAGGGCAGGTGGCGGAACCACTGAGCTAAATCTCCGGCCCTGCTTTTTCATTTTGATGCTTCAAGCATAAACATTTTCCTTGGTTTCTTAGATTAGTTTCTGTGTTATCCTCCAATTTGACTTTTAGTATTCTTTCAACTCCTTAAATGTTACCGCCTATCCCTAGTCATCTTCTACACGATCCCCTTAATGATCTTAAAAATGTATGGCTGAAATGACTGTAGATTGTAGCATCTCTAGATCTGTCCTTTTTAATAGGCTCTTACTCTTGGTTAAGAGGCATAAATTTCTAATCACCTGCTAGTCACTTCACCTGTCCACAATAGCCACTTTTTATTGATATTTCAGTAAGTGCCCAGGCATTTTACTGTCATTTTAATTTCTTTTCTCAGGGATATGGTGATGTAACAATTTTATAGATGAGACCATAGCCAGTAGTCATAAAGCCAGGAATTGAACTATTTTGTTTCCTTGCCACCTGCCATTACTAATATTTTTGTCCTGTGTATTAACAACCTGAAAGCTATAAAGGAGAAAAAGGCCTGTATCTTTAGTAAAGCAAGGATGAGGGTGCAGGTAGAACAGAGTTAGAATTCTTTTTTTTTTCCTGTATATCCTTTTATTGGTACATTTTAGGTATACAATGTAATGACATTCATCATTGGAAATTTGCACCTTTAGATAATCTCTCTTGGTTCTTATTTTTATCCCCTTTACCCTGCCCTCCCTTCAACCCCTCCATCCCTTCCTATTTACAAAGACTTTGTTTCCATTTTTCCATTTTCTCATATTAATACCATTCCCTTCTTTCCTTTCCCCT